AAATTAAAGCTACTTCCCACTAGATGGTGGCTACTGAATTAAGATGGCCCAGGTATGGAGAAAACAGGGTTATCTCTGTCACTGGGCCCAGAGACTAGGTTAAGGTCCTGGAATCCATCTGGGAGAGACATGATAAAAGGGGTTGCCACTGGGGGAAAGCAAGATAGACTCTGCCTCTGGGGGTTCAGGAGGGTGGTACCCAGAGGTACCCTGGGGAATGGGTCATAGCCTATGGACTTTTGGGGGCAGTGTTGTCCAGAACCAGTCCTTCAGCTTTGCTTCTCTGATCTGAACCCCCTTCATCAGTCTCTACGTTTTTAGAAAAGTCATGTTTGGTATTATAACCTAGACTCAGTTGTGCTTTAGGGAATTAAGAGAGAGACTATGTTGTATGGTTTAGCACTTTGGAACCTAAACAAGTTAGTAGAGTAAGGGCACTAGGTTACTCAAGTCTGAATCTCCAGCTCTAGCCCATAATAGAAGCTCTTTAAATGTTTGCTAGATTGAATTTAATTGAGAAAGGAAATCTCCAGATTATGTTTATCCATGGACATTGCTTTGCTCATTCACATGCTGAATCATGTTGACCTCTTATGTGGGCGGAGTCTAAGTCTGACACTTTCATTTTTCCACCAACAGGTTTAGCGGTTCACCTATCTAAAATAAAGTAACCTTGGGCGCCTGGGTGGCTCAGTCGTTAAGCGTCTGCCTTCGGCTCAGGTCATGATCCCAGGGTCCTGGGATCGAGTCCCACATCGGGCTCCCTGCTCTGCGGAAAGCCTGCTTCTCCCTCTCCCACTCCCCCTGCTTGTGTTCCTGCTCTCGCTATGTCTCTCTCTGTCAAAAAAATAAATAAAATCTAAAAAAAAAATAAAAATAAAAAAATAAAATAAAGTAACCTTTCATGCGACTTAATCGAGTTCCGAATATGGCCCAGCACCTGCCAAAATCTTGTTCAAAACATCTGATATTTGAGAAAGGCAGTCCAATGGGCATGTGAACCAGTCAGTGATCTGTGACACACACGCCCAGTTCTATCAGATACAATTAGAACATCATCAAGCTAAGGGCCAGGTGCCTTCACAGACCAGATAGGCAGGACGGGGCACTTGGAATTGAGCCTTTTGAAATACAGTCATTAAAGGTATTGTCAATTATGAAACTCACTGTTCTTAATAGAAGAATTCACATGATAAAAATCATATTTTAGTTATTTCACATACACAAAAAATGGTCTCTATAGATAACTGTAAGATTTCCTTTGTCAAAAAATGAAAACTATTATCATCCATGCTTCCCTTTCCGCTACATATATCAAAGCCCTTACGGCCTAAATTTATTCTCCAGTTGTATTCACTGGTTCATTCCAGCTGCTTGGTAACATTTGCTTTTTCTGTTTCATCCTTAGATGTCTTAATTTGTACAACTTTAATCTGCAAACCACCTGAAATCCTTTTGGAAACAAACGAGGTACAACACTCAAACACATAAATCCCTAATTCCTCCCAGAGATCAAAACCAAAAAGTACTAAATGGCAGGACCTATATAAGGATATTTTATTCAATTATCTCCGCAAATGGGGAGTTGGATAATCATTACAGGAGAAAAGTCAATGACACGAGTGAAGATTAAGTTGGGTGGCCCATTATATTTGATGAAAAAAACCTCTGAGCCAGCAAAGTATTAATCTAGCTCAGTCAATAAAAGGAACTTTGCAGGCATGCACATACTGATTTGGCCTTCAGTTACTCCAGTGCAAAATGCTCCTTCCTGGAATGATAATCAGTAGCAGCTCTGGTGTGTCTTAGTTACATCCTCTTCCCCAAGAGAGCTAGAATGATTTGCTAAGAGAGCAGGGGGTCACGCATCCATTCTGACAATGTCGATGCCATGTCAGCAGACTCCGTTCACGGGGTGAAGAATGCGAAAGCTGCCCTGCAGCAGGAAGCAGCCACCCCACTACTTCCCTGCAGTGGGCCCAGGAGGCTGCCCAGGTCTTCATGCAAGATCCAAAAGGAAATATTTGGGGTCTCTTCCATAGACATCGCAACATTATAATACACAAATCACAACAGACATCATCACAAAAATCAAGGGAAGGTGCAGTAAACAGGCAAGTGTGCTCTAAATGGGTGACGGGAATTGCAACTCAGAGGTACACATTTGCCATTGGCAAGGATCTGCCTTACTGCTGCATAAATTAGCTAGCCCTGCAGAGAAGCACAGAAAGCAATCTGTTCTGCTGTGTACTCCCTTCAGCGACACCATGTTTGTTTCTGCCTCGTATCTGCTTTGGAAGTGCATATCTACCAAATGCAGGAAATGATTCCAGAAGAGCTGTCCTTGCTCCTATTCCTCAGCTCTCTCTGTCCACAGGTAGCCATTGTCTAGGCCATGTCCTCAGCCCACAGAGAACTATGAGACTGTATCTGCCTTTCTCCAATGATCTGTCGCAGCCAGCGAGCAGAAACCACAGCCCCTAAGACAAGGGCTGCTGTTGGTTTTTAATTTACCTGTAACCACCTAACCCTTGCCTCGCTCAGACTCGGTTCCTGAGGCTTATGATCCACAGCTAGCTCTTAGCAAGCAGGGCTTAATGAGCCTCCCTTCATTGTTCTGACCAGGTAAAATCTGTTCCCATCTGTGTTCTGGGGCGTCTTACTCTCCGAAGCTGTTCCAGCCACACCCCCGAGGGACGTGTGGTGCAGAAATTGCCCAATGAAACTGGGCAGGGAGAGGCCCCGGTCCCCAAGTGCAGATGCTGCGTTACTAGGTAATAGAATTGCTAGAGATTTGGAACCTAAAACGGGTTTCTTGAAGCTGTCTACAAAGACTAGTTCTTCTCAGACATCCAAAAGCAAGTCATCCATCACCAGCTGCAGAGGGGAGCCTTGTGTCGGGGTGTAAGGGACCGCGCAGGCCTCCCAAGAAGTACAGTCAAATTACACCACAGTCTTCAGCTCAGAGTGCTGGTAGGCCTCATTAACTAGGGATGACTGGAGAAAACGCTTTTGTAAATCCGTAAAAAGTCTCAATTTTAACATATTTTAAACAAAAACACAATGTGATTATTTTAACCCACAGCAAGGTTAACAGCGAGGTGGGTCTGAGATCTCCATTGATCTTTAATCGATAAATAAGCATTCGTTTGTAATCAGCACGTTCATTGTTTTAATGTAAATGGATGGTTTGGAATTGCTCGAAGGAGTGTGAAAATACTGTAATTTGTCCTCTTAGATCCCTTAAACATTGCCCCAATCTTCTTATTTTCAGCAGCATCAGGAAGTTTCTGAACAATGGCGCAAAGACAAACCTCAAACGCTACCCTGACATAAATTTCCCAAATGTCCTAATTAGAAGATATGACTTAATGAGGTTTTCATTATACTGTGCATTACAGAAATAAAACCAGAAGAACGCATCTTCAAGACAAGAACTTCAGTTTTCGCAGTGACGTGCCCCTGTGCACGAGGCGCTTAACTTTGTCCTTCAAAATGTCAAATTAGGCTTCAGGTCAGCCATGTCACTGAATGCCAGGGACACGCACCGTGCAGGAATAACACGCTCTGCAGTGCCAGGAGCTGACGGGCGCTCCTGAGTCATTTAAACCGATCAAGGCTTTCAGCAAGCCGATGACAAGAGGGCAGGAAATAGCTTTTATATCAGTACAATCTGAGTTCTTACTAATTTTTATAGAACTAATGAGTTATAAGAAGAGAGGGAGAAATGAACACCTGGAGTCGCGTAAGGGAGAGAGAAGGCTGGAGTGGCCGGGAGCTTTCCTATCCTGCCTTTCCTAATTTGTTGGCTCTGGGATCCTGGACCAGCCACTTCTTATTGCTAAGCTTTGGTTTCCTCTTCTCTAAAACATGGATAAATAACACTTTTCTTGATATTCGGATAAATGAGATAAACGTGCATAGCCTGGCATCTGCCACACAGGAGCGACCTCAAAGATGGTAGGACTTCTACTGCTATTGCTAAAGCTAGTACTAGTATATGGCCTCTCTCCGATCTCATCTAACCCCATTTTCCTCCCACGAGTAAGGTTCTAGCAAAAACACCACCTCACACGCTATGCTCGAAATCCCAGTGCTGATGCTGTACTTGCCAACAACGTGTCGGGCCCTGTGCCCTTCTAATTCCCACAGTCACCCCCTGAGGGAGTGGTGATATTATTTTATTGTTATTATTCAATTTCATAATTCACACACCGTTTCATCTTATCAATGAGGAAACTGATGGACCCCAAGAAAATTTAAAGCCAAAATTGGAACCCAAGGAGTCTGAGTCCTGAGCCCACACTATCAGGCTACTCCTCTATCCTGCTTCCTCCTTCCTTTCTATTTCTATTTCCGATGATGAGGTGTCTCAGGATCAGGCCCAGCACCAGACTGGTGTTTACACTCAGAACACTACTACTCTGGACGGCTGGGCTGCTATCGAGGGATACACATGATACTGTAACTCCTTTCTCCAGGAATATGAACTTAGTCGGGGTACGGAAACTTGTGACTCATTATGAAAGTCTGTAGGGGACAGATGATAAAAGCAAAAGACGGTCTCTGTGTTTTGGGTTCTGAAGTTTGGATCTCATCCAGATATTTCACTCTCTTCTCATCTGCAAGGTCAAGACCCTGCTAGCTAAAGCACTCTTAGTGCCATCTGACCCATTTCTAACAGTCTCAGAAATTTCTACCCGGGGAAGGGTTTGTACTTTCCAGTTGTGATTCCTTGAATTGCATCTGCTACATTCACGTATATATGTATCCTCCCCTCCCCCCCCACCCATGATCATGGCTTATTTATCCTGTTAGGAAACAGGCACACCTGTATAAAAGCAAGAACATGCAGTAGGAGAAGTCGAAAATCACAGCTTTCGCTGACTAGTAGGTAGGACCTAGAGGTCAGCGGTCCCAAACCCCTCCTCCTGTCAGGCAAGGAGGGCTCAGAAGGCTTTCACATGCTTTCAGGGCAGGTCCTAGCGCCCTGCTCTTACCCTCGCAGTGAAGTCCACAGCAGCCGCTCGGTTTAACAGCAAAGTGGCTACGTTGATATTTCCATAGTGAGCAGCTATGTGGAGCGGAGTGAAGCCACTCTGCAAAGAAAACATAGCAGACATTCAATTGATTCCTGCTGGCCCCTTGTCCGACACGTTAATACCATAACCCTGCCCAAATCAAAGGGAGGAAGCAAAATATGCTGAGGTCCACATTCCATTCTGTACTAGGTTTCTTTCAATTAGTGCCAATTGTTCGTAGGGTTTCAAACAAACTCATAGGCAGAGGAATAGCCAGGAAGGAACCAAGGGTGCAGACTGAATAATTTTAGTAACTCGGTAGCAGAACTATACAGAAGCCAACGTTTCAAAACATCAAAATAGGGCTGACAAGAAAAATCTATTGCTTACAGAAGGTTTGATTAATACCACTGTCTTATTATCAATGATAGAATTGTCCATTGAAACTCTTTGTCGAAATTCAATTTGTTTAATATATTCAGTATGGAGTAAATGCCAATTTTAATGACAAAAGCAATTTTGGGGGAGAGAACTACAATTGGTCTTGTATAACGGGTGATTGCATTTTAGAAAGAATCCACAAGCTGGTCTCTTTATTAGCAAATGCCTATTCATTTCCTCTAGCTTAGTCATACCAAGGTCATTTTACTTCCTTAAAAAATGCTAAAACATGCAACGATTCACTTAGTCCCCAAAGATTGAAACCTTATAGGAGCTAGATGCATTTCTAGATTGTTAGCAAGCTTCTTAGCCATGCTAGCTATCTTACTGAGTCTTGTGGGGAGGGTGGGAATATTGGTACCATTCAGAGGTAACTTTCATTTTGCTGACACCACTGAGGCTAAGTGTCATGCAGAACTCTAAAGAATCAGTCCTGGAGGAGTAGAATGACAGGGTTGTCTGCAGCTTTAGGTAGAGCTGATAAGCATCTAAAGCATCAAAACTCTTCATCTCACCCAACTCTATTGCGACATCCTTCATTCTCAAGGATTCCTCATTCTTCCTTTCCAACACCAGGTTCAGCTGCAGAAAGCCCTGGTAATCAAACTACTATCTTCTCTGGCACATGCTACTTTGGGGGCGGGGACATAAAGCAGGTATCTAGCCTACAGAGGCGATGCAAAGAAGGAGGGAAAGAAATGAGGCAGCAGCACTAGGTAATGGGAAAATGATGATGCAGACAGAGATTATATGCATATGTTTATATATATATATATATATATACCTCTGTTGTTCTATTCACCACCATCTAGGTTAACACATTTGGAAGCAAAGAAGAGGAAAAAATGAACGGTTAGTTCGCTCTCGGTGACATGGACAGCAGCAAGCTCATGGCAGCTAAGTAATGAGGATGGAAGCTCTGGTGGGAGCACAAGAGGCACAGAAAGAAAGCTAGACCGAATGGAGGGCTACACAATGGCCTGTTCCAAATGCTACATTTCCTTCACAGAGACCTTCAGGTCATACATGTCAAGGCAATGGCAATGTTCGGCTGGGACTCTGGCTGCCGGCACGCTCTCTCCACAACTGATCAATACTCAGTGCATTGCCTCTCATCTCAGATACCAGCCAAAGGTTTATTTGTGCACATTGCGGTTAGCATTTTGTAATTTTCCACCCTGGTGTTTGAGCTGAAGTGTTGGATACGTTCAAAATATACGTTAGAAGGAAGGAAACTACCAGGTGCCTATAAATGGACCTCGGATGTGGCCTCCCTGTTAGCATGCATCAGGCAGCATGCACGGTTACCTCCTAGCTGGAAATGCTGAGGGGGCCGCGCCTTCAATCGGCTGACTTGGACACGTACTGTCCTTGCTCCCAGTGAGGTTAAGGCTTTGGGGTAAGCTTGCCAAAAGGGAGACCAGGCATTCTTACAGCGTGAGTGCTAGCGCAGGAGAGCGCATGGCCGGCTGCCCGCCTTCGCGCCTCACCTTTGACTCCACGTCTGCATTGTTGTCGCTCTGCAGCAGCAGGGCCGCGGCCTTCGTGTCATCTTTTCGGGCAGCGATGTGAAGAGCTGGAAGACGCACTTTTCCTTTAGTGTCATTCTCTAGCAGGAGGGAAACGACTTGATCGTGACCTTGTTGCAACGCTACCGCCAATGGTGTGAAGCCATCCTGCAAATAAATGGATGGGTCAAGACTGGCCCTAGCGGACATGTTCTTTTTGATTAACAAATAAGAATGCAACCGAGCGACCAATTTTTGTTTAAAGCTACCATATTCAAGTAGACAGATATGTGAAAAGACATATATATATGTATATGTCTATAAATACTTGTTTATATTTATATATTTACCAAAGCAGAAAATAATAAAAAAATTTGTAATAAGTTTTTGGGTTTTTTTTCTGTTAAAAAGTAATACACACTAACTGGGTAAATCTTGAAAATACACAAAAGTACTACATAAAGAGGAAAAAGATACCATAATTTCAATATCCAGAAAATAACTGCAGTGAAAACAATATTTCAGGTTAAATCCAGGTAAATTTTTCCAAGGATCTTATTTAATTAAGCTATAAAAATTTCCCCTGATATTTCAAAACTGGGGGAGAGGCCTGTCTGCTTCCTCATTGCACCTTGATGCCTAGCACATATCTGGTGGCCACTCTGTATATGTTAATTGGTGAACCATAGTAACCGCCATTTTAAGAAAGGTCTTTATGAAACACTCTTGGCTTCTCTGACCAATGAAGGGAGAAGACACAGGGATCATGCAAAACAGGACTAGAATAAATTGAGATATACACTCAGGTCTGTGCATTTTGAGCCTCCCCACTGTATTGCCCTGGGACTTGACAGAGAGAAGACAGCTACAGATTTTGCTGTGGTTAAGTAATCGGTGGATGATCTAAGGTTACTGACAGTGGAATAAACAGCATGGAGTAGAAAATCCTAAAACTGGCTCGAATTTGAATTCTTCTATGCTTTTATTGTCATGCACTCAAAAGAACATTTATAAATTATTTTTATTAGAGAACTGGCAAGTAAGGTACTTATTTTACTTGGGCATGATATTTTATATCGGTAAGCCTTGTGCTACAAGAAGAGGGCTACTCCAGTGGAAGGGTGTTCATACGGGAGAAAGAGAAAATCTAGTGACTTGCACACTAGTGTCTTCTTGGTCTTCCTAAAAGACCACTTTCATCATTTTTTTCCTTGCTGGAAAATCAGACAAGGGCTCCTACCATTTTTTTGACTGAATGCACATCAGTATATTTATATTTAAGGATGTGTAAAATATTGGCCCCAAACACCTAAGGGACACTATTGCCCAGATTCTTCTCATATAAATCCTTTCCTGAGGAAAGGTCTCCTTATTAACTGCGGTGTGCAAACTATTTCTACGCTGGCTTCTATACTCATGCCATGCCCCCACCCTGCAATGTCCTCCGCCTCAATCACATATACAAATTCTGTCTATTCTTCATGCTTCGAGAACCAGCTGAAGTTCCATCTGCCCCTTTCAACTTTTCCAGGGAGACCCAATAGAGGGAAAGGATGATCATTAACGTAGCTAGAAGGACTTCCCCTGCAGCCTTAAGAAAGGCTGAAAACAACCAAGACATTACCAAAAGAACATCACAGGTTTACCCTTAAGGGCATGAAGTTTCGAATGCAATTTAATGTTATGAGAAAAGTAATCTACATAGCTATGTAAATATATGACCTCATTTTCATAAAGATAAATATGTGCGTTGTGTACATATACCAAAAGGTCTTAAGGAGTAAACAAAATGTTATCTCTAGGGAAAATTAACAGTGGCTTTTTCTTCTTTTTGCTTTTCACTTTACTTTCTCATTTATGTAATCTATTACTATTACAAAACAAAAGAAAAATATATTTTTTAAAGGACAGAATGGTCAAAGGAAAATTGTGTATTAAGAGTGAACGTGAAACCTGGACAAAATGTAAGGGGTAAAAATGATAGCCCGCTTCTGGTTCTGAATCAAAACTAAATGGCTATATTTTCTGCTAATATGAACTTTTAAGCCCATAGGGCCTATACATAAAGGAAACTACTTTGCACCAGAAAATAAACTGCAACAGAGACCACAGCACCCACAAGAATGTGCTTCCTGCAATAAGCCAATTAAAGAGACAAAGATACCAGCTCTAAGGTGTCAATAGCTAAAATTAGTAGCTCCCGATTTTGGCTCCAAACACAGTTTAAACAGTTTGGTTCTCTCTGTGCAGTTATTCTTAAAAGAAAAATACATGGGGCACTGGGGTGGCTCAGTCAGTTAAGCAGCCAACTCTTGATTTCAGGCTCAGGTTATGATTTCAGGATCCTGAGATCCAGCCTCGAGTCAGGAGGGGAATCTCCCTGCACTCAGTGGGGAATCTGCCCGAGATTCCCTCCCTCTGCCCCTCCCCCTGCTTGTCTGCTCTCTCTAAAAGAAATACATAAATCTTTAAAAAAAAAAGAAGAAGAAGAAAAATACAAGCCAAAAGGAAACATGACAGAAGCTCCATGAGAACCTCCATGCCTTGTGGAGTATCTAGAACATAATGGGTGCTTAATAATTACTTGTGGGGAGGGCGCCTGGGTGGCTCAGTTGGTTAAGCGACTGCCTTCGGCTCAGGTCATGATCCCGGAGTCCTGGGATCGAGTCCCACATCAGGCTCCCGGCTCAGCGGGTAGCCTGCTTCTCCCTCTGACCCTATCCCCTCTCATGCTGTTTCTCTCTCTCTCTCTCTCTCTCAAATAAATAAATAAATAAAATCTTTAAAAAAAAAAATTACTTGTGGGGTAAATGAACAAATGCTTTAACCTAATGCTTCAGAATCTTAATTAGTAAAAGAAGGAAGATATATATATATAGATATATATAGATATATATATATATATGGAAAAGATAGGGTATACAGTACATAGTTAATACAGAAAAGGTTTTAAAAACCACAATCAGGCCAAGGACATAGCAGTAAGTTGGACTTACCTGCTTCTAAAGGAGAGATACTTAGTGATCTGTACATCACAGTCTAAAAAGACTACCTTCTCCTTCACAGGCCAAGAAAGTACTCTGAAATCACTTTCATTGGGATATTTATATTATTTAGTATTTCCATCAAAAAATGGGAATGGGGCGCCTGGGTGGCTCAGTTGGTTAAGAGACTGCCTTCGGCTCAGGTCATGATCCTGGAGTCCTGGGATCGAGTCCCGCATCGGGCTCCCTGCTCGGCAGGGAGTCTGCTTCTCCCTCTGACCCTCCTCCCTCTCATGCTCTCTGTCTCTCATTCTCTCTGTCTCAAATAAATAAATAAAATCTTTAAAAAAAAAAAATGGGAATGGATTTTTCTCTTATCCAACAAGTAAGCACTGCTCTATGCCTACCAAATGTGTGTTTTCTTATCGACCAGTAGTTACTTCTTACCTACCCTTAAGAATATTATCACAAAAACAATACATTCTCATGATAAAAATCTTCAACAGTATGAAAGGGTATAAAGTGAAAAATCTCCCTCCCACTGCTCAGAATAAACCACTGAGAACAATATGGATATTTTCTTCTATCAGCATCTATAATCTTGCCTCATTTTTGACAATGCTGAATAGCATTTTATTGTGTGAGTATCACAATATTATTAAACAGGTTTCCTACTGGTGCATATTTAGGTTCGTTCCAGTTCTTAAAAAATTGTTCATACTAATTCTGTTGATGAACTTCTTGTATACTGTTTTTGTATCCCCCTCTAATATATCTGTAATGTAAATTCTTAGAAGAAACAGAATTGCTAAGTAAAAAGGTACATAAACACTAACTTTTGACAGTTACTGTTAAATGTTCTGCAAAAGTGTTGCAACCAGTGATCAACTTTACCACCACTGTAGGAAAGCTCCCATTTCTTCTACTCTTCAAATTCTTTTTCTCAACTCCAGGGCGAAAGACTGGATCTCATTTTTTAACTGATTAATAAATTAATATTTCTTTGACTATGAGTGAAGATGTGATATTTTCATACATTTATGGTCATTTGTGTTTCTTTTTGTGCGAACTGCCTCTTCATTTATTTAGTGGTTTCCCCAGAAGGCACAATCTCAAAAGCTGGGTGAGGTTATATGCAATTCCTCTATCACGATCTTTCTTGTGCCATTTGGAAAACATGTCAGAATTTAAGAAGAGCAGTATTATGACAGGGATAATCCTGCATCTGTTTTCATTATTTTGTTAAAAATAGAGAATACTCAAATGTTGATCTTTTAATTTTAGCAATATAGTTCTAATGATACACTTCACAAGGGAGCACAATCTTCCATCCAGTTTAGTTTAAAAAATAAACTGTATTACGTTAGGACAGTCCCAACGACTTAAGTAACTTTTTATTTTAAAACAACTCTTCTATTCAAGACTGCAAAAATTTCTTCACTACCATGTTTATGTAACACTTAAAAACATATAATAGTTTTGTTGAAAAGTGTGAATTAAATCTAGTTAACTATGTAAATTCAATCATTATAATTATGCTAACTTATATTTGGAAAAAACAGTTTTCAAACCTGTACTACAAACATGTTTCAAAAACAGTGGTTGACTTTGAGGCAAAATTATAAGAAACGGAAAAGTGTTCTAAAGCAAATATGTAGATATTAAACAAATAGCTCAATTATAAGGTAGAGCCAGGCATTTAAGAGCAGAAAAGGTATCTGTGCAATGGAAGATTCTTTAAAAATTGAAAATAGACTTTCTAGTGTATTTCATAAACATTGAAGAATCCTCACATTAATATATGACTGTAACTAAACTCTAGTGGGACAAATTTTCCATGCTATAACTCCAGGCTTACAAAATGTCCTGCACCCATGTGAACTTACCCACAGGAAGAACCAACATGTCTTACCTCTGTGGCTAGGCTCTGGCTTGCACCATTGTCAAGAAGAAACTTGACAACTTCGAGGTGGTTTTCCTGGGCTGCCATATACAATGGCGTGAAACCATTCTGCAAAAGAAGAAATGAAATGTTTCTGTGTTTGTCTGTGGCTTTATTATAGGGCCAATCTAGTTTTCCATGGTACTGATATTATATGTTCCAGAAAATGCTTGTGTATAATAATTTTAATGATACTTTAATGCAGATATTCATATTTATTAAAAAGCCTAAGCATGATAGTTTAACCAGAATTTATAAGTGTATTTCAAAATTATAGTTTATAATTTATAACTTGAGTATAGTTCATAGCTAATAGTGTATAATTCACACCTATCCACTTTAGATAAATAAGTACATTTGTTTAATCATCAGCCTCTTACTGAGCACCTACCAGGAGTAAAGAATTTTCCTAGATGATATGAGGATATGAAGAAAAATACATTTGGTCATTGTCCCAATGAGTTTTTTCCCCCATACCAATAATTACCTACTTTAAATAAAAGGTTTAATACTTTCACATAAAATTAAGAGTCTGAAATATTTCCTAATTTGGAAGGAATTTATATTAATTTTAAGGAGCTTCAAACTCACCACAGGTGACGTGACTTGGAGCAAAGGAAAGAATATCAATATGCAAAAGGGTATATACTTCAAATTCAAAACAGAATTCAATTAGTAGTTGATTTTTTGTAAGTTTCCTGCCTTGCATTTTTTTTTTTAGCAAAGATGTGGTAGTTTCATGTTCAGAATACACACATATGCATTCATATGTACATATATGTACACACACACTATGTATAGGTATGTATTTATGTTTGTCTGAAATGTGGCCAACTGCCAAAGAACCTGGATTCAAGTACATGAATGTGTACATTGCATCTTAAGCTTTTTATTAAAATATGTTGCTTGGGTGTCTGGGTGGCTCAGTCCATTAAGCATCTGCTTTAGGCTCAAGTCATGATCCCAGGGTCCTGGGATCGAGCTCTGCACTAGGCTCCCTGCTCCACGGGAAGCCTGCTTCTCCCTCTCCCGCTCCCCCTGCTTGTGTTCCCTCTCTCACTGTGTCTCTCTGTGTCAAATAAATAAATAAAATCTTTTAAAAAAATATGTTGCATATGTATGATTGTTCTCTAGAACAATTTATTTCACATCTATGAAATACTTTCATATGTTGTCTATGTAATATTTTTAAATCTTACTGCAAAACATATATCAAAACATAGTTTTCAAACTATAGCAAATTTTCTTTGAATAAATTTTTCAGAATACGGGGCGCCTGGGTGGC